GAAATTTTGTAAGGGATTGAGGATGTTTGTCAGGAAGAGAGAGAAGGCAGGAAAGGAAGATTTGAAGGTCACCCAGTAATTTAATCAAAAATAAATCTAAAATTAATGTGAAAAGGAATGAGCCATCTACGTTAATCTGGGTTTAGGGGGTATGGGTTTAGGACTATGGCAACTTTGTTAAAAGTGTCAAATTTGTAATGCTGAAGTGTCAATACTATGATATGAATGAATATTGGACATGTAGATTTGAATGCCTAAATTTGGAAGAGTGAGACTCAGCTGCAGGGTTTTCGGGGGTGGTTTTCCCCTGCAGTATTTGAGGTGGGATAGTCAAATGCTTGCCCACCCCCGCCAAATTATCAATGGCGTGCGAGCTCCCTCAATCGCTCCCTCAATTACTCACTTATTGAATGTTATAGTTAAAATTTTTTGGAGGTTTTATTATGCTATTTTATTGACTTGTTGTAAAGACAAATTGGTGATGTATTACATATGTCTAATGCAATAAATTTTGATCTAATCTAATTTACCAGCTCAATTCACCAGCTGGTGAATTAAGCTGGTTAATTCATTTGGTTAATTCACTAGCTCAATTCACCAGCTGATGAGGTTTTTTTTTTTTATTTTTCAAAATTATTAAAAATTGAAATTTAATTTATAAATAAATTAATTTACTTTTAATTTTTAATTTGAAATTTAAAAAAAAATAAGTGTCACCAGCTGGTGAATTCACAGGCTCAATTCACAAGCTGATGAGGTTTTTTTTTTAATTATTAAAATATGAAATATTATTTATAAGTTAAATTTATTTAAATTAATTAAATTTTAATTGTTAAAAAACAATAAAAGGGATTAATATCATAAATATTATATACATAAACTTAAAAATAATTAATTAAATTAATTTTTTTTAATTAAAAAATTAAAAAAAAAATTATAGTCACCAGCTGGTGAATTCACCAGCTCAATTAACCAGCTGAATTTAGCTGGTGAATTAAGCTGGTGAATTAAGGTGGTGAATTCACCAGCTAAATACACCAGCAGGTGATGTTTTTTTATTTTTTTAAAATTTTAAAAAATGAAATATATTTTATCAATAAAATTATTTTAAAATATATAAATTTTAATTTTTAATAAAGGGATTAATTTTATAAAAATTTAATAAGTAAAATTAATATTAATGACTTCAATTAAATTTATAAAAAAAAAAAATATAATTTAATTTATAGTTAATTTATTTTCATTATATTAAATTATAAATTTAAAAAAAATTTGAAAAAAGGGATAAATTTTATAAATATTTTAGAAATAAAATTAATATTCATTAATTTAATTCTAATTTTTTTAAATTTGAAAATTTTTTAAAAAAAATTTGCGCCAGCTGGTGATGTTTTTTTATTTTTCTAAAATTTTTAAAAAATGAAATATAATTTATAAATAAAATTATTGTAAATTAATTAAAATTAATTTTTTAAAAATAAAAAAAGGATTAATTTTAGAAATATTTTATAAATAAAATTAGTATTAATGAAATTTTTTTTATTTTTGAGAATTAAAAAAAAATAATTGTCACCTGCTCTTGAATTCAGTTGGTGAATGCACCAGCTGGTTATTTTTAATTTTTTAAAATTTCCAAAAAATGAAATGTAATTTATAAATAAAATTATTTTAATTTAATTAAATTTTAGATTTATAAAATTTTGAAAAACGGGATTAGTTTTATAGATATTTTATACATAAAATCAATATTATTTAATTAATACTTCATTAATATAAATAAAAATAATTTTTCTTATATTTGAGAATTTAAATGGGCTGAAAAAATGAATTAATTTTAAAATAAAAATTCTATGATGTTTTAAAAAGAGTTCTTACCTTTTATTAGTTGCAGGCACCATGGAGAAACTATGAATGCTTTAAAAATGCTGGATGTGCTCCAGGTGAGCCTCTGGCACAAACCCTGGTTTGAAGTCGAGACTGAACGGGATGAAAAAATGAATTAATTTTAAAATAAAAATTTAATATGTTTTTAAATTGAGTTCTTACCTCTCATAGCCAGCAGGCACCAAGCAGAATCGTTGAGTGGCTTGAAAAGAGCTGGATGTGCTCCAGGGGGAGAGCAGTGTACATTCCGATATAATGAAAGGGGGCTACCTTCGGAGGAAATGGTACGAATGCGCTGAAAATACAAATACAAATGAATTAATATTTTTTAATTAAAACATTTAAGCCCCATCGAATTCATGACTAATTCGACCCCAAATTAACGGCCACCCTCGTTGACCCCCATTTGGCCGACAAATTACAGACCACGCCCCCTTTTTCCAATTAAATTCAAACCCCAATCAACGGCCACCTTTGCCCCCTCGAATTCCCGACTAATTCGACCCCAAAATAACGGCCACCCTCGTTGAACCCCATTTAGCCGACAAATTACAGACTGCGCCCCCTTTTTCCGACTAAAATTCAACCCCAAATTAACGGCCACTTTTGCCCCCTCGAATTCCCGACTAATTCGACCCCAAAATAACGGCCGCCCCCGTTTACCCCGATGTAGCCCACAAAATAAAGACCACACCCCCTTTTTCCACGATTTTCCGACATTCGGGGCCATAAATTACCCTTACCTCACGCTTTTCTTCGTCGTGGGGCTTCTTCCTTTTGGTGCGCATCGTCGGCGTGCTGCCTACTTTTCCTTGTTTTCATTTCGCAGCAGTTCGTTCCGCGTTCGTTCTATGTTTCCTGTTGATGGGGGACCTGCTCTCTGTAGGGGAGGGTGCCACGCCCCCTTCCCCTTGCTTGTTGACGGAACAATTTTCTTCGCCTTTTACCTTTAAGATGTGAAATATAATTAATAAATAAAATTATTTTAAACTGATTAAATTTTATTTTTATAAAATTTCAAAAACGGGATTGATTTTGGAAATATTTTACACATAAAATTAATATTAATTAATTTATCCTTAATTAATATAAATTAAAATAAATTTATTTCAATTAGTGTATTAAAAAAAATAAATTGTCACCAGCTTGTGAAATCAAGAGCTAAATTCACCAGCGGTTGTTTTTTTTTTTTTTTTTGTTAAAATTTTTATAAATTGAAATTTAATATATAATTTGTAAATAAAATTAATTTAATTTAATTTTAATTCTTAAAATTAAAAAAAGGTGTAATTTTATAATTATTTTATAAATAAAATTAATATTAATATACTTAATTTAAATTTGTTTAAATTCTTAAACTTAAAAAAAAAAAATTGTCACCAGCTGGAGAATTCACCAGCTCAATTCACCATTTGAATTAAAAAGCTCGCGGCTAGCCGAATACTTTACTCCATTGTAATCTGGGGTGGCTCTACACACATGAAAGATGTTTTTCTAGCGCAGAAGCGAGTAATAAGAGCAATGGCTGGTGTTCAATACTGGAGAAGTAACTCGGCGCTAGACTCATGTAGACCACTATTTGTGAAATTTGGAGTTCTTACAGTCTATTCATTATATATTTTGGAGTGCGTTAAGTTTGTGCGTAAATTTCCTGAAAAGTTTAATCGGAATCGGGATGTTCCAGGTGTAGTAGTGCGAACTACGCGTGCTACCAGCTACGTCGACACTGATTTGTTTGTAAGGCCAAGCTCACTAAATTGCGTAAATGAGAGTCCGGAGATAATGATTGCCAGAGTATATAATAAACTACCTAATGTACTGAAAGAAATATCTGACTATGGCAACTTTGTTAAAAGTGTCAAATTTGTAATGCTGAAGTGTCAATACTATGATATGAATGAATATTGGACATGTAAATTTGAATGCCTAAATTTGGAAGAGTGAGACTCAGCTGCAGGGTTTTCGGGGGTGGTTTTCCCCTGCAGTATTTGAGGTGGGATAGTCAAATGCTTGCCCACCCCCGCCAAATTATCAATGGCGTGCGAGCTCCCTCAATCGCTCCCTCAATTACTCACTTATTGAATGTTATAGTTAAAATTTTTTGGAGGTTTTATTTTGCTATTTTATTGACTTGTTGTAAAGACAAATTGGTGATGTATTACATATGTCTAATGCAATAAATTTTTATCTAATCTAATCTAATTTACCAGCTCAATTCACCAGCTGGTGAATTAAGCTGGTTAATTCATTTGGTTAATTCACTAGCTCAATTCACCAGCTGATGAGGTTTTTTTTTATTTTACAAAATTATTAAAAATTGAAATTTAATTTATAAATAAATTAATTTAAATTAATTTACTTTTAATTTTTAATTTGAAATTTAAAAAAAAAAATAAGTGTCACCAGCTGGTGAATTCACAGGCTCAATTCACAAGCTGATGAGGTTTTTTTTTTAATTATTAAAAAATGAAATATTATTTATAAGTAAAATTTATTAAAATTAATTAAATTTTAATTGTTAAAAAACAATAAAAGGGATTAATATTATAAATATTATATACATAAACTTAAAAATAATTAATTAAATTAACTTTTTTTAATTAAAAAATTAAAAAAAAATTATAGTCACCAGCTGGTGAATTCACCAGCTCAATTAACCAGCTGAATTTAGCTGGTGAATTAAGCTGGTGAATTAAGGTGGTGAATTCACCAGCTAAATACACCGGCAGGTGATGTTTTTTTATTTTTTTAAAATTTTAAAAAATGAAATATATTTTATCAATAAAATTATTTTAAAAAATATATAAATTTTAATTTTTAAAAAAAGGGATTAATTTTATAAAAATTCTATAAGTAAAATTAATATTAATGACTTCAATTAAATTTATAAAAAAAAAAAATATAATTTAATTTATAGTTAAGTTATTTTCATTATATTAAATTATAAATTTAAAAAAAATTTGAAAAAAGGGATAAATTTTATAAATATTTTAGAAATAAAATTAATATTCATTAATTTAATTCTAATTTTTTTAAATTTGAAAATTTTTAAAAAAAAATTTGCACCAGCTGGTGATGTTTTTTTATTGTTCTAAAATTTTTAAAAAATGTGTAGCGCCGCCACCGAGGGCGCGCGCCACCCAAATCAAGTTCCCTCCAAACGCTCCCTCGAGCCACTCCTCCTTCTTTCATGCCGGACGAGCAAGAACGACACGCAAATTTCTTGTCCGTCGCATATCGACCAGCATCCGAGCCCCGATCATGGGGTAAGTGAAATTTCCCATTTTTCCCAAAAGTGAACATTTCCAAATACACATTGAGACATTTCGTCAACCCCAAAGTGCTCCCCTTTTCCCAAAATCAAGCCGTCAAATTTGCCCTTTCAAAAGTGCTTCGAATTGCCATGTGCAAATCTTTAATTTTCAATTATGCAAATTTTCTGAATTGATTACTAATGAATATGTTAATTTTAATTTTCTCCGAATTCTCAATGATCTGAAATTATGATGTTTAGTAAAATTCTGATGATTTCTATTTGCAAATACCAAGCCAATGTTGGCCACATTAATTTACATTCGAACGACAAATTAATTTTCCTATCCAACCAAATTTCATTCCAACCAAACTCAAATAGTCAAATCAAATAAATAAAATGTATTTTTATTTCAATGTGATATTAATTTTTGTAAATATTTTTCAGTTCGGATTAAACCACAAAAAAACACCTGACTTGTTTTTCTCCACTTGAACAAACCCTTTTCTGTGGCCTGGAAGCCACAGTGGTGCCCAGTACCCTGGTCTTCAAGTAGATGTCTACTGGAAGAACCGGCGACAACGACGACAACAACCTCGTCTCCGAACAAGACCCACTCTTGTCCTCAACGGCGACCCAGCCTCTCTCGCCCACCGACGCATTCAGTCTCTTCGACGAAGTTGCCCGAGTTGCAGCCCAACCCACACCACCACCTCCAGACGAGGAAGCCGACCAAGTGCCCAAACCTGACACAGTCCGACCTGTAAACATGTCAGGCAATATCGGAAACGTCTCAATGCCCTGCTTTGCTTACGAGACAGCCCCATTCTGGCTGAAGCTGCTTGATGAGAAACTGAAAGATGAGCAAGTTGATGACGAGGTGGTCATGTTCAAGTTTCTCCGTGAGTACATTCCGATCACCGGCTCACCCGAGACAGTCCTCTCACTGCTCACCCCGATTCCACCCGTTAAGCCTTACACCACTCTGCGCGACGCCATCCTCACACACGTGCAACCCTCCGCCCAGAAACGAGTAATCCAACTCCTGATTGAAGAGGGTCTTGACGGTTCCACACCCTCTGAGTTTCTTGCCAGGATGCGCAAGATTGCTGACTCTGACCCAGAACACACGATGTTGACCGAGCTCGTCTTCTCCTGCTGGGCTGCCAAACTTCCTGCCTTTGTTCGCTTGGCCATCAGCGGTGAGAAGGACCTTGCCATCGCCGCATCCAAGGCGGACATGATGATGGCCAGGGACCGCAGCAGCAACCTGTCACAGCTGCTCTCCTCCACATCCTCCCCAATCGCTACTACAGCACAAATCTCGGCCATCAGCAAAGCTACTGACAAAAGCAACAACTCCGGCGGCGGCACCAACTCCCGTGTCGACCGGCTGGAGACAAAGATGGACGACCTGACCAAGCAGGTTTTGCTACTCACTCAGTCCGTCAACAACCTGCTGATCAACAACAGCAACAACTACAAAGGGCGCTCAAGAGCGCGCTCCAAAAGTCGCCCCCGAGACAGATCGTCCTCCCGCAGCACTGAGCTCTTCGACGACGGCAACGCCCTGGGAAAGATTTGCTACTACCACAAGACCTACAACTTGGACGCTAGACACTGCACTTCTGGCTGCCGCTACTACGCTTCCCACCAAGCTCAGCAAGCCGCCGTGGCCAGCAACCCCCCGCCAGCGTCAAACTAGCCGGGCAGGCTGCCACAGCGGCCACACCCTGCCCCAGTCCCCCCGGCCGCCTCTTTGTTTTTGACCCCCTGAGTAAGATGTCCTTCCTGGTGGACACGGGTTCGGACATCAGCGTCCTGCCACAAAGACTGTTCCCTCAAATGAAACTACCCCTGAATTACAGCGTCACTGCTGCCAATGTGACTGAAATTAAGACTTACGGTTTTCACTCCCTCCAATTGTCCCTCAACTTACGGCGCACCTTTGACTGGACCTTTCTGGTGGCTGACGTCGAGCACCCCATCATTGGTGCCGATTTTCTCACTCGCTACAACCTGGTCGTCGACCTCGGCCTGGCCCGACTGACTGACCGGCTGACCTCTGCCCACGTACGAGGGTTCAACCGCCCTGAACCTGCCCCCACTGTGAAAATCATTGAAACTCAGAACCCGTTTTACCTGCTCCTGAAAGACTTCCCTGATCTCTGCTACGCTCCCAAAAAGCGCAAACCTCCCAAACATACCACTGTACACCGAATTGTGGTCACTCCAGGGCCACCAGTCTTCGCCCGATTCCGGAGACTCCCTCCAGATAAGCTGAAAGTCGCAGCCGCTGAAATCCAGAAATTGATCGACAACGGCGACGCACGGCGCTCCAAGTCCCCGTGGGCGTCTCCCGCAACCCTAGTCCCCAAGAAGTCCCCAGGTACATGGCGCTTCTGCGGCGACTACAGAGCTCTGAACGCTCGAACTGAGCCTGATCGGTACCCACTGCCCCACCTTCACGACTGCACCCACGCCCTGGCCGGCTGCACCATTTTCTCCACCCTCGACCTTGACCGCGCCTACATGCAAGTCCCAGTTGCCCCTGAAGATGTCCCAAAAACCGCCATCACGACGCCCATGGGACTCATTGAGTTTCTATCTATGCCATTTGGACTCAAAAACGCAGGTCAGACATTCCAGCGCCTCATTCACGCAATTTTAGGTGACCTGCCATTTGTTTTTGTCTTCATTGACGACCTACTGATCGCCTCTCGTTCCCCTGAAGAACACCGTGAGCACCTCAGGCAAGTTTTCCAACGTCTCCAGGACCATGGCCTGCTGCTGAACTTGGAGAAATGCGTCCTCGGCGCCTCAGAAGTCAGTTTTCTTGGTTACCTGGTCAACAAAGATGGCATCACGCCCCTTCCAGACAAAGTCACTGCCATCAGGGCCTACCCCACCCCCAAGGACAAGCAGGAACTCAGAAGGTTCTTGGGAATGGTGAACTTTTACCACAGGTTCCTTCCCCAAGCAGCCAAACTTATGGCCCCTTTGAACTGCCTACAGAATGGTCCCAAAGGTCACAAGAAAGCACCTCTCGAGAGATGGACCGACGTCGAGCAATCTGCCTTCGACGCTGTCAAGGACGCCCTGGCCAATGCTGCCTGCCTGGCACACCCCAGAGTTGACGTCCCACTCTCCTTGGTGACCGACGCCTCAGACTACGCCATCGGCGGCGTTGTCCAGCAACTGGTCGGCAGCACCTGGCAGCCTCTTGCTTTCTTCAGCCGCACTCTCTCAGCCGCTGAGAAGAAATACCCTCCCTACGACAGGGAGCTGCTGGGAATTTTTGCATCCATCAAAAAGTTCAGGTACATCCTCGAAGGTCGCCAGTTCCAGATCCTCACCGACCACAAACCTCTCACCTTTGCTTTTAGCAAGAACAAGACTGACTGTTCCCCGCGCCAGCTCCATCACTTGGAGTACATCGGCCAATTCTCCACCGACATCCAATTCATCAAGGGCACTGCCAACCTAGTTGCTGACGCCCTGTCCAGAATCGAATCCATCACGACCGCAGTCTCCTTCGCAGACATGGCCGCAGCTCAAGAAACCGACCCTGACTTCCTCAAATTTCGCAAACTCTCTGATTCTCCCCTGAAGCTGGAGCAGCAACCAGTCCCAAACTCTCCACATCAACTTTGGTGTGACCTGTCATCTGGTTCTCCTCGCCCTTTTGTCCCACACCAATTCAGAAGACAGGTATTTGACAATCTTCATAGCCTAGCCCACCCTGGCGCGAAAACTTCCCTCAGGCTGGTCGCCCAAAAGTTCATTTGGCCCAACATGCGCCGAGACTGCCTCCTCTGGGCGCGCACCTGCCAAAAATGCCAGTCTGCAAAAGTGACCAGACACACAAGAGCACCTCTTGTCCCTTTTCCCGAGTCCACAGAACGCTTCAAGGATGTGCACATCGACCTCGTCGGCCCACTCCCTGAAGTCGAAGGATTCCGGTACTGCCTGACCATGGTCGACAGATTCACTCGTTGGCCAGAAGCTGTTCCTCTGAAGCGCATCTCAGCCATGGACGTGGTGCGCGCTTTCCACTCCAATTGGATTGCCCGATACGGAGTCCCTGGAACGGTGGTCTGCGACCAAGGCCGCCAATTTGAGTCTGACCTATTCAAGAAATTCAGCAAAAGTTTTGGTTTTGAAATTCATCACACTAATGCCTACCATCCACAGGCCAATGGCATGGTCGAGCGCCTCCATCGCACCCTGAAGGCGGCGCTGATGTGTCAAGATGCTGACTGGATGACCGCCCTGCCACTGGTCCTGCTTGGCCTCAGGTCGGTCTTCAAGGAGGACCTCAACACAACTCCGTCCCTCCTGGTCTACGGGGAAGAACTCCGGCTGCCCGGTACCTTTTTCGTACGGCCCACTCCTCAGCAAGCTGCTGACCTAGCTGCTCAACTGCGACACCACTTTGCCACACTTTTGCCAGTTCCTGCAGCTCACCACGGAGGAAAATCCTTCTTTGTCCACCCTGACTTGGCCACTGCCACTCACGTGTTCCTGCGCACCGATGCTGTCCGAGGAGCTCTCGAGAAGCCCTACACTGGCCCATATCCGGTCGTCATGCGACACGCCAAATCTTTCGTCATCGAGGTGAAAGGTAAACCTAAAGTTGTTACCATCGACCGACTCAAACCCTGCTATCAGCTCTCTGAGAAGGAGCCAGTTCCGAAGCCAGCAGAACCTCCGAGAAGAGTTCGTTTCAATTTGCCAGCAGCTCAACCAGCAACACCTCCAGCAACTCCCTCGGCAACACCTTCGGCCCCAGACGCACCAGAAGCACCTCCAGACACACCAGAAGCACCCCCAGACACTCCTCCAGCAGCACCACCTGCGTGGCCAGCTCTGGAGCCACCTCCCACCCCTCCTGACCACCCTCGCAGGCCAAGGAGCCCAGACCTTGACAGCTCCAGTGACCTCGAACTCAATCACTTCTTCGAGCAACCCGAGACACCACCTGCGCCTCCAGCCCCAACTCCAGCAGCCACAGACGGAGTACGACACACTCGTGCTGGCCGGCAGCCCAAACCACCTGCCTGGACGAAGGACTTTCATATGTCCTGAGCACCTCCGGTGTCTTAGGGGGGGCCCCTGTAGCGCCGCCACCGAGGGCGCGCGCCACCCAAATCAAGTTCCCTCCAAACGCTCCCTCGAGCCACTCCTCCTTCTTTCATGCCGGACGAGCAAGAACGACACGCAAATTTCTTGTCCGTCGCATATCGACCAGCATCCGAGCCCCGATCATGGGGTAAGTGAAATTTCCCATTTTTCCCAAAAGTGAACATTTCCAAATACACATTGAGACATTTCGTCAACCCCAAAGTGCTCCCCTTTTCCCAAAATCAAGCCGTCAAATTTGCCCTTTCAAAAGTGCTTCGAATTGCCATGTGCAAATCTTTAATTTTCAATTATGCAAATTTTCTGAATTGATTACTAATGAATATGTTAATTTTAATTTTCTCCGAATTCTCAATGATCTGAAATTATGATGTTTAGTAAAATTCTGATGATTTCTATTTGCAAATACCAAGCCAATGTTGGCCACATTAATTTACATTCGAACGACAAATTAATTTTCCTATCCAACCAAATTTCATTCCAACCAAACTCAAATAGTCAAATCAAATAAATAAAATGTATTTTTATTTCAATGTGATATTAATTTTTGTAAATATTTTTCAGTTCGGATTAAACCACAAAAAAACACCTGACTTGTTTTTCTCCACTTGAACAAACCCTTTTCTGTGGCCTGGAAGCCACAAATGAAATATAATTTATAAATAAAATTATTGTAAATTAATTAAAATTAATTTTTTTAAAATAAAAAAAGGATTAATTTTAGAAAAATTTTATAAATAAAATTAGTATTAATGAATGAAATTTTTTTTATTTTTGAGAATTAAAAAAAAATAATTGTCACCTGCTCTTGAATTCAGTTGGTGAATGCACCAGCTGGTTATTTTTAATTTTTTAAAATTTCCAAAAAATGAAATGTAATTTATAAATAAAATTATTTTAATTTAATTAAATTTTAGATTTATAAAATTTTGAAAAACGGGATTAATTTTATAGATATTTTATACATAAAATCAATATTATTTAATTAATACTTCATTTATATAAATAAAAATAATTTTTCTTATATTTGAGAATTTAAATGGGCTGAAAAAATGAATTAATTTTAAAATAAAAATTCTATGATGTTTTAAAAAGAGTTCTTACCTTTTATTAGTTGCAGGCACCATGGAGAAACTATGAATGCTTTAAAAATGCTGGATGTGCTCCAGGTGAGCCTCTGGCACAAACCCTGGTTTGAAGTCGAGACTGAACGGGATGAAAAAATGAATTAATTTTAAAATAAAAATTTAATATGTTTTTAAATTGAGTTCTTACCTCTCATAGCCAGCAGGCACCAAGCAGAATCGTTGATTGGCTTGAAAAGAGCTGGATGTGCTCCAGGGGGAGAGCAGTGTACATTCCGATATAATGAAAGGGGGCTACCTTCGGAGGAAATGGTACGAATGCGCTGAAAATACAAATACAAATGAATTAATATTTTTTAATTAAAACATTTAAGCCCCATCGAATTCATGACTAATTCGACCCCAAATTAACGGCCACCCTCGTTGACCCCCATTTGGCCGACAAATTACAGACCACGCCCCCTTTTTCCAATTAAAT